GAGGGGGTGGGGGGGTTGGTAGGGTTATTTTACCTAAGTGACTGTTTTCATGTATTTATTCAGCAAATATTTACTGACTTTATACTACCTGATAGTGTATGATTCTAGATGCTAGGTATGTAGCTGTGATGAAAACATAAAACTCCACCTTCGTGAAGCTTACATTTGACTTATTTTCACTTAATCTATTATAAATGTCTTTTCAGAGATAAATAATAATAGCATGTTCAGTGTATATAGTTATTCCATTGTAAGCATATTCCATAGTTCTATTTAACCAGTAATTTCTAGTTAGACATGTACATTTTTTATGGTTTTTTACTGTTACACTGAATAAATCCCTTTGCTAGATCAAACAGTGTGTGCATTTTAAGACTTTGGTTCATATTGCCTCTGTCTACCAAAAAGAATATGATTTTCACTTCTAACATAAGAATGTAAGAATGTATCTCTTCTCATTTGCTAGTTTAAACTTTTCCCCCAGTTTTATATGGAAAATGTATCTCATTTGAGGTTGTAGTTTTTGTCCTCAAATCTTTATTGGTCTTTTGTATTCTGTGGGGGGGCGGATAATTGTCTGTTCATGCCTTTTGTCCTTTTTTTTTCTATTAGGGAGGTTGTTTTCTTATTTTTGTGCATTGTTAATTTTTTTTCAATTTCATTATTTGCTGTTCAGCTTCACATGCAGTTTTTGAGGCAGACAATTTTTATCTTCACATGTTCAAAAATACCGTATTTATTTCTTTACCATTCAGTTGGTTTTAGAAATCAGATAAATGCTTCCATATTTTCTTGTAGTAGTTTTATATTTCTTTTTAATGTTTAAATCATTGATTTATCTGCCATTTATCTTGATGGTATGATAGAATCACACAGCATTTACTCTTGTGTCTGACTTCTTTCACGTAACATGTCTTCGTAATTCATCAGTTTTGTGTGCATCTTTGGTATTTTTTTTTCATTGCTGTGGTGGTATTTCAGTGTGTGACTATGTCACAATTTTACTGTTGATGGATATTTTTATTGTTATTTTAAAGAAGTTTTTTTGGCAGTGCCATGTGGCTTGTGGCATCTTAGTTCCCTGACCAGGGATTGAACCCGGGCCACAGCAGTGAAAGCGCCGCATCCTAACCACTGGATCACCAGGGAACTCCCGTTAATGGACATTTTTTTCAGCATTTTAGGCCTGTGTGTCAGGGCTCCTCAAGCCCATCCCCACGTTCAGTGATTTGCTAGGAGGACTCACGGGAATTATATTCACGCTCACGGCTGTGACTTACTGTGGCAAAAGGATACAAAGCAAAATTAGCAAAGGGAAAAAGCAAACCAGGAGCAAGTTTCCAAGAGTCCTTTCCCAGCAAAGTCACACAGGACGCACTTAATTTTCCCAGTAGTGAGGTGTGACAACCCATGTGACACATTATCTACCAGGGAAGCTTAGACACTCAGTGCCTAAAACACCCTCTGCCTAGCTCAAATTCATGACTTTTCACAAGTAAAGTGAGTGTTTGACATAAGATGTAGAGAAAAAATTTGGCAAACAGGTAAGGTACAGTGAGCCATTCTCATCAGCAAATGATGAGAGGTGTCCGGAAATCCAAGTTCCCAGATTCCAAGGGGGACCAACCTTGTAAGCAGGCCTTTCTAATGATAGCAGCCTCAGGCCTGCTTCTACACACAGCATTTTATGAATAATGCTACTAAGATCATTCATGTGACTCTTCGTGTTATGCGAGGGCGTTTTTGTGGAGTCTGTCTCCTGAAGTGGGTCTCAGAGTCTCAGGGTATTATTCTTGAGCTTAACGTAAGTAGATAACGCCAAGCCAGTCATGCAAAATGACACGCCCCCATCAGCGTATGGAAGTCACGTTGCTCCGTGTCTGTGCCAGCACATTTGTGTTGATCGTGCTGTTCATTTTAGCCGTTGCAGTGTGTGTGTATTGATGGCCATTTGTGGTTTTATTTTGTAATATCCTGGCTATCAGTGAGATTGAGCACCTTCTCATATATTTATTAGATGCTTAAGTAACCTCTTTGGGGAAGCACCTATTAAAGACTCTTGTTCATGTTCTGTTATCTTTTTCTTACTGATTTGTAGCAAGTTCTTTATATAATCTGGATATAAACCATTCTCCCACTTTGGCTTGCATTATGACTCTCTTAGTGATGTCTTTAAAATTCTTATTTTATTCTTGTTTAGAATTTATTTTTTAACATAACATGCATCTATGTATTTTTTGTGGTTAATGGTCTGTGCCTCATTTAAGAAACCTTTCCCTGCTGCAGGTCATAAATATATTATTTTAACATCTAGAACAGGTGTCAGCAAACCACAGCTTGCAGATCTACCCGGTATCCTGTTTTTATACTGCCGAAGAGTAAGGTTTTTTTTTTGTTTTTTTTTTTTTTTTTTGCGGTACGCGGGCCTCTCAGTGTTGTGGCCTCTCCTGTTGCGGAGCACAGGCTCCGGACGCTCAGGCTCAGCGGCCATGGCTCACGGGCCCAGCCGCTCCGCGGCATGTGGGATCTTCCCAGATCGGGGCACGAACCCGTATCCCCTGCATTGGCAGGCAGACTCTCAACCACTGCGCCACCAGGGAAACCCTTTTTTAAGGTTTTGAAAAAAAGATGATGATGAATATGCAACAGACACCATATGTAGCCTGCAAAGAAAAATCTGGCTCTTTACAGAAAGTTTGCCAATCCCTTTTCTAGAGGCTTCACTGTTTTGCCAACCTGGAATGGATTTTGTACACGAGTAAGATATAGGGGCCGTGTTTCATTTTTTTCCCTAATGGAGATGTAATTAACCCAGTAGTGTTTATTGAAAAGATTATCCTTTCTCCATGGTCTGCAGTGCCATATTTTTCATAAATCTAGTGTCCATTTAATGTACTGACCTTTTTCTGGACTCCTTTCTTCTTTATTGGATCATTTGCCTACCTCTCTGCCCATATCACGTTGCTTAATTTTACTTAATTAAGCTTTATTATAAACTTTAATGAGCAAGTCCGCCTGCCTTGTTTTGCCTTAAGAGTACGTTGGCTATTCTTGTCCCTTTGCATTACCATGTAAGTTTTAGAGAAAAAAAAAAAAGGAAATTTGTTAAGAATTGACATCTTTCTAATACTGATTTGAATAAGATACATACCTTCGGTTATTTAGGTTTACTTTCAGTAATGTTTTACAGTTTTCTAGGGAGAGGTTTTGCAGATCATCGTTGGTTAGATTTTTTTCTTTTGGTGTCATTTGTAATTATTTAAGTGACTATCTCTAAAAGATACGGACCTAAAAATTCATAGTAAAACATTATTTTGTTGCTAAAGTATTAACCATGATTTCTTAATATTAGATAGCTAGACAGTGTTCAAGTTTTCAGTTTCCTCATAAAGAACAATTTATTTCAGCCTGTTTGAATTAAGATCCAAATCAGGTCCCCTCATTGACACTGTTAATATGTCTTCTTCAATTATAATTGTCTCCTTCATGGATTTTCCCCCGCTTTGTAATTTATTTGTTGAAGAAATTGTGTTGTTGACCCTGTAGAATTACTGTCTGTGTCTTGCTGATAGCATCCCCCTGGTGGTGTTTAGTATGTTTTTCAGTCCTCTGTATTTCTTGTAAATTGATAGTTGGATCTAGAGGCTTGATCAGATTCATTTGATCTAATATTTTTGGCAAAACTCTTTCATAGCTGGGGTTGGTGTGTTCCTTTATCAGGAGGTCCTTGATCTTTAATTCCTCTTTTTGTAATATTTATAACCGTTGATCCTTAATGCCTAGATTAATTATTTTACTAAAGGATACAAAATGGTGATATTTTTATTTTATCATTTCTTCATTTATTAGCTATTGTAGTTCTGTAAAGAGAAAGTGCTCCATTTTATTTGATTACTCAGTAGTATACTTTATAAAGAAGGGTAAAATAAGTATTGATACTTGACTCCTGACCAGTTTTCAAAATAATGACTTAATTCTCTGCAAGTGTTGGGTTGACCAATGAACTTGAAAAAAATTTTTTTTCGTTACAAGCACATGGACTTAAATACACTCTTCTGTTTCCAGTCTTTGTAATTGGCTTCTTCAGTTTGGCTCCTGAGCCCTTTAGACAGGACCCTACTAGTCTTTGAGAGCTTTCTTGCTACCTGATATAACCGATACCATCTATATTTTTTATCCTGTATGTGAGCTTGTGATTTTCTAAGTAGCCTTAGTATCTTTGGGTAGAAAAAGTTATCTCAAGATCAGTATTGGCATGTTATATGCTGTTAACAAGTAATACATGTAAACATAAGGATACAGAAAGGTTGGAAGAGAAAGATTGGAGAAAGCTACTCATGCAAACCCAACTAAAAGAAACTTGTTTTGCTCTGTTAATACCAGACTAAATAGACTTTACGGCAAAAAAGCATTATTTGAGATTAAAAGAGAGTATTTCACAATGATAGCAAGTTCAGTTAACAGAAGATAGGACCATTTTGAATACCTAATAAAATATATAAAGAAAAAACTGACAGAACTAGAGTATACTCTACATATATGTGAGACCTTTGAACCATTCATTTTTTTCTTTTAGTTTGGAAATTATACCTCAATTTTTATCTCTTTTGCCATTTAGTAGTTCAGGTGAAAACTTACAGCGTGCATGATTCAAAGTTTACAGTTTTAATCGATACTTTAAGTGTCTCCATAGATAAGGCAAAATCTTAAAAACTTTAACCCTGTTTATCTGTTCCACTTCGTACATTGTTATGTGTTTATTGTATTAATATATTATGTATTTTTTAACTCTATATTTTAAACTGTGTAAGACATACAGTTGGTCCTCTGTATTTGTGGGATTTGCATCATTGGATTCAACCGTGGATTGAAAATATTCAGGGAAAAAAATTCCAGAAAAACATATTTGCTATGCACCAGCACCTATTTACATACCACTTATGTTGGATTTACAACTATGTACACAGCGTTTGCATTGTATTAGGTATTATAAGTAATCTAGAGATGATCTAAAGTGTACTGGAGGATGTGCGTGGGTTATATGCAAATACTACGCCATTTTACGTAAGGGACTTGAGCATCTGAGGATTTTGGTGTCTGCGGGGGTCCTGGAACCAATTCAAGGACTGTACGACTGTACTCCGTGTAGTGCCTTGTGCAGCCCTTTTTTGTTTGTTTGTTTGTTGATACTACTAGTTCATGTATTTTTTCTCTCCTGGTGCTTTGCTTATCTCTAATATGTTGGTCATTGTCTTTGGAAAGTTATTTAAAAAATAATCAGAGGCCTAGGATGATAGGATGTCTTGTTCCAGAGAGGATTTTTCTTTGCTTCTGCCAGGATTCTGGGAGTACTAGCAATGTGGGATCATCTTAATCTGGTTTAAAGAATTGAGCTTTCCTGAAGTACTCGGGTGAATTGAAGCTGCCTTCATTCTTGGGTGTAGTCCTTCATGGTCCCAGCCTGAAGCTTGAGGGCTACCAGGATGCCTGCTCTATCTGTGCAGGCCCTGGACTCCAGTTTTTGTCTCTTTTTTTGTACAAGGCTATCCCAGGTACTGCTCAAATTCCTGGCTGCCCACTCCCTGAAGAGTTCAGATGTTTCTAGGGAAAATACTGGGCTGACCCCTATGGATTTCCACATTGTTCTGGATCTCAACGGAGTAATTCTTCATTGTTGTATTTGCCCTCTGATGCCTTCAAATAGACATTTCTTACATGATGCATTTTTTAAATTCTTTTTTTTTTTTTTTTTTTTTTTTTTTTTGGGCGGTAGGCGAGCCTCTCACTGTTGTGGCCTCTCCTGCTGCGGAGCACAGGCTCTGGACGCGCATGCTTAGCGGCCGTGGCTCACGGGCCCAGCCGCTCCGCGGCATGTGGGATCCTCCCAGACCGGGGCACGAACCCGTGTCCCCTGCATCGGCAGGCGGACTCTCAACCACTGCGCCACCAGGGAAGCCCTGAAATTCTTTTTTGACTTAGTAGTTCAGTCTACTTAATCCTAGTACCTCGTGCTTTGGTTCAGTATGTTGTTGCTGGATTTGGCAGTTGGTACTGAAATTTTTAATTTTAGAGCTTGCTCTGTTTTCTCACCCCCATTTATTTTACTACTGTCCTTTCCCCCTTGTTTGAAATGCAACTAGTAGGCTCAAAATTCGTATGTGTACATGGATCTGTTTCCAGATTTTCTTTTGGGAATTTGAAAGTAGGGCACAAAAGTGAAATTTTCTTGATTAAAAACTAAGATAAACTTCAAGGAAAAGAAATTTATTAGCTACTTTTGAATATTATGACTTCATCTATTTTGGCTTTGTAGCAGTTTTTAAGAAGACTTTTATAATACTGTGTGATCAATATTTGACAATGCTGACTAGCTTAGACTATCATTTTGAAGTATGTACAAAGTCCACTAGTGCTGTATACTTGCTTGAACTTAGTACAAGGGTTTAATATCCTTTAATCTCATGTAAAATAATTCTGTTAGAATAAATGCTGACTTCTTCTTTTATAGTTTATCTTGAGGAATGTGAACTAGCTAAACAGCTTCATCCAAAGGAAAATGATTTGGTGTTTTTGGTTCCTGAAAGACTAAATGGAGAGAAGGAGGACATAGAGAGAAATCACATGCAAGATCCCCATGAATATTACTGTGGTTATGTTCATAAATTCCGCCGCACTTCAGTCAGTAAGTACCTAATGAGACATTGAAGAGAAATCTGTCAGCAGCTCATCTTTTAATTTCCCTCTAAATTAGGCTTTACTAGCCATGTATTTGCTATACATTTACCAGCCCTATATTTGCTGTACATTTACCAGATATATATTTGCTCTGTGTTTACCAGACTGTATTTGCTAGGTTGATTACTTAGCATTCAGAGTCCTCTTTTAGTTTTTCTAGACTCAGCTGGAAAAGGCCCAGCATTTATTGCTTTAGACTTAGGATTTAAAACCTTTCTTTTGTAATATCTTCTCCTTCTAGTAAATTCCTTCATCTGTCAGTGTGTTTGTTATAAAACAGACAATTTGCAAACCATCTGTTTGTTAAATCACATTCCAACCTTGGTTTTGTGGCTAATTACTGATGAGCAGACCAAACACATAACTAATTGTAAGGCAACTGGAGGGGTTTACTGTTTCATCACTCCCATCCATTGTGTTGTAGGGACTTCTCTCCCTAAGGTAGCATAACAAAAATAATGTTAGCTTGAATTTAAGGACTACTGACTATGTGCTAGCCAGTGTGCCCTGTCCTTCCTGTGCACATTTATCATCTTTTCCCAGAGTCCTGCAAAGCAGAATGGTTTGTTCCCTGCTCATTGGGAAATCAGAGTTCAGGGTTGTTAAGTAACTTATCCAAAGACATCCTTAGTATTAAACGCTAGGTCCAGAATTGAAACCTAATTTTGTTTGACTATGAAGTCCACATGCTTGATATATGCCAAGCTGCCTTTTTGACATTTCTGCTCTCTTAGTCTCTGTTATGTGAAGAGAATATGTGATCATTATTCCTTCACCTTTTTGCATCGTATCTTAAAAATAGCAACAAAGCTGTTAGAGTTTAACATTGTGCCGCATCATAACTGGTGTGCCATGTTTACTATTGTGTGATCAGAGCTCAGTTCTTTATGCAAGATGCGTTTAGCAACAGGGGTATATAGCTTCATCTGTGCTTTCAACTCTTACAAGTGGTTACATTTGGCAAAGTTCTGTTTCTAAGATTTAGAAACGGTTTCTGTCTCCTTCCCTGAACTCCTCATGCATCCAACTATCTGACATCTCCATTTGGAGATTATTAGACATTTCAAACCTACTCCAAAAAGAAACACTTGATTTACTGGCTGACATGTGCTGTTGCTTTGGTTTTTCCCAACTCAGCATGTGGGACCTCCATCCCGTTCTTCCAGTTGCTCAGCCCAAAACCTCACAGTCATCCTTGAGTCCTGCTTTCCCTCACACGCTCCATCTAATGCATCAGGAAATCCTATCGGATCTTCCTTTGCCATATATCCTACATCCAAGCACCACCTCTCCTGCTACCTCCTGGCCCACATGACCATTCACTTTTACCTAGATTTTAGCCTCTTAAGTTGTCTTTTTTGTGCTTTTTCCATTGCAGTTTATTCTTCATTTGCAATAAGTGATTCTTTTCATGTGTGAGTTAGCGCATGTCACTTACCTGTGCGGAGCTGTCCTGTGCTCTTGACCTGACTCAGAGTCATGTTCAGAGTGATTAACTGCAGAGCCCTCTGAAGTGTAGCTGCATTTACTGTCTTGGTCTTCTAGCTTGCTTCTCCCTGCTTTTCCTTCTAGCCATTCTGGCCTTCTCCCTGTTCTGAAAATAATCCAGGCACCTCGCTGCCTCATTGTCTTTGCAGTTGCTGATTCTCTGCCTGTAACCCACTTTCCCTGGTTACGGGCATGGCTCACTCACTCAATGCCATGTCTCTGCTCAAATATCATATCAGGAAGACCTCCCCTGACTCTCCTGTCTATGATAACACTCCCTCAAAACTCTCATCACTTCCGCATCCCCCTTCTCGGCTTTCTTCCTAACACTTATCATCACCTGACATGTTTATTTGCTTATCTGCCCCGTTCTTCTAAAAAATAAGCCTCCAGAGGACAGGAACGTTGCCTGGTTCTTAGGAGGCAGTCAGTAGATACTTATGAGAAAATTATTTAAATGATGTATATAAAACACGTTACAGGGCTTCCCTGGTGGCGCAGTGGTTGAGAGTCCGCCTGCCGATGCAGGGGACACGGGTTCGTGCCCCGGTCCGGGAAGATCCCACATGCCGCGGAGCGGCTGGGCCTGTGAACCATGGCCGCTGAACCTGCGCGTCCGGAGCCCGTGCTCCACAATGGGAGAGGCCACAACAGTGAGAGGCCCACGTACCACACACACACACACACAAAAAAAAGTTACAAAACACGTTGTTCTGAAGAACCTTTTTAACTGGACACTGTTATTCACTGGTAACTGAGATTGCTTTTTCTCCTTCTTGATAATAGTGCGTAATGGGAAATCTGAGTGTTCCGTTTCCATCCAGACTCAACATAATTTACCAGTCAATTTAAATGAATTCGTGAAATGTCTTGTAATCAGCTCTCTGGTGACTACACAAAGGAAGTTGAAAGCCATGTCTTTGCTGAGTGGTCGGAACCAACTGGCCAGAGCCGTTCTGAATCCAAACCCCATGGACTTCTGTACAAAAGATTTACTAACTACAGCATCTGAGAAAATTGTGAGTAATAGTCATTTGATAACAGGGAAAGTCAGAACATTTCATGTCAAGATGTTAAAGCATCATGTTATTTTTATCTGTCACACATTCCCTTTTGTCTACAACAGAGACATAGTCACCATGTGTGCCCAGTGACATTTTTAGTGCTTAGTTTTCTTTAATATTGCAAAGTAGTTCTTTGTGTTAGGTTAGTCACCTTACCTCAGGAAAAAAGGTAGAGTGCAAAAAGGAATTGAAAATATGCTTGAAGAGCAACATTAAAATGTGAGGTGAACATCCTACTTAACTGTTTGTTAGGTGATTAAATGCAGGAGTAAGAGTAGGTTTAATGGAATGAACTTTGCATTTGAATGATCAGTGGAGCATTGACTGGTATTGTTGCCAGTGTGACAACGAAGTTGTGATTTTGTGTGAACACATATTTCTCACTGTTGTAAGAGTTGTGTGTAAGTTCCAGGAAATTAACACAGACAGGCAGAAGGAAAGGAATGTTATTTGAACCCCTGTCTTGTGTTAGGGCTTTTGTATGCATTTTCTCAGTCAGCTCTCACCCTCTAAGGAATCCCAGATTTAATGATAGGCAAAGGCTGAAGCCCAGAGAGGTTAGGAGTTTAGAGACCTAGCTTTTGAGTGAAACTGAGGTGTAGACTCAAATCTGACCCAAAATCCATGCTTTTTCAACTGTATCACTTGTGTTAGGAAAGGAAATCTTGGAATGTTTTTACTGTCTAAAGAGAGAATTGACTAAAATGGGAAGAACCACAGAATAAAAAGAAGAAAAGTGCAAAACAATTTATTGTGATCATCTTTATAAGAATCACAAATAAAAATATAGTTGTTATAGTTGTAGGTGGACTGAGGCCTGTAGACACTCATCAGTAGCTCTTTCCAGTAGTGAAAGTGGTTCTTAGATTAAGGGTCATTTTGGGGTCTTGCCTGATCATCACCAAAGCTTCTGTCTGACAAAGGTCAGCAGATTCAAACAGATGCCTTCCACTCTCTTGCTCTCCTGTGCCTTCACAGGAAGAACCACTCGTTCTCACTAATGTCTTTTGTATAGATTGCCCACCTAAAAGATTTCAATGAAGACCAAAAGAAAGCAATAGAAACTGCATATGCCATGGTGAAACACTCCCCAGCAGTTGCCAAGATCTGTCTGATTCATGGACCACCCGGGACAGGAAAATCAAAAACCATTGTGGGCCTCCTGTACCGCCTACTGACAGAGGTAGAGTGTGCGTGAGGGCATCTGTGCCCTTAATTGAGTATGTTGTTTTACTTTAACTAACGTGTAAATAAGTACTAAAGTGCGTTTTTTTCCCTTCACTTTTGTGTATCTTTTTGATACTGTGTGGAACTGTATCAGATAAAGCGGTAGCAGAGGTAGAGAAGGTTATAAGAAATAAAAGGAACAGAAAATGTTATCTTGTGTGAAACTAATGCTAAGGGCTAGAATGGTGGTCTTCGGGCTTTATTATAGGTCACAGCTAATCCCAGGAGACCATCTTGAATGTATTTCTGGGCTACATTTTGGATTGAACATTGAATAAGATAAGTGGATAGTAAGGTAAGGCTCAGAGAAGTTACGATAAAATTTTATGCCAGAGTAATTTTTGGGGGGTGGGCACACCATGCGGCATGCGGGATCTTAGTTCCCCGACCAGGGATCAAACCTGGGCCCTTGGCAGTAAGAGCACCGCATCCTAACCACTCGTTTGCCAGGGAATTCCCTGCCAGAGTACTTTTTTAACATCAATGTAAGATGTAGGTGCTTTTATTTACTTTTAACTATTTATTAGGGGAACTTTCAAGTATATGTGGCAGTAGAGAAGAACTATAACGCTGCATAATAGAGCTCATCAGTATTTTTTGTTTGTTTGTTTGGTGCAAATTGTCGAACCAGAGGAGGGGACGTTCAGATGAGAACTCCAATGCCAAAATCAAACAAAACCGTGTCCTTGTGTGTGCGCCTTCCAATGCAGCTGTTGATGAACTTATGAAAAAAATTATCCTTGAATTCAAAGAGAAGTGTAAAGACAAGAAGAATCCTTTGGGTATGATACTTATGTGGGCTTTTAATTTGTTTTTGTTTTCAATGTTTAGTGTGGGTAACCTTGAATGACAAAGAGCAAGCCAGTTCTGGTAATTTTGTCTACTTGAGGCTGTGGCCCATGTGTACTTACTGGTTTGTTTAATGAATATTTTGGAGCATTTATTCTGTGCCAGGCCCTGTGCTATGTACTGAGGTTTCAACAGTGAAACCCTCAAAGAGACAGGAAGTGGATGGATCAGTGGGCAATTATACTGTAAAGGTAGAAGCTCTATAATAGGAGTAACATGTGGGTAGTTTGAAACACCTTAGAGCAGCCCTTGATTCAGTTGTGTAAGGGTTAGGGAAGACTTTTAGAGGAAATGATATCTAAGATGAAACTTGGAAGAGCGATGAGGAAGTGAAGTGGGGAGAAGACTCTCATGGAACTTACTGTAAATAAAAAGGACCAGAAGCCAGAGAACCATGGATGGTTCAGTATAGCTAGACTATAACGAGCTCCACCAAGGCAAGGGCTTTTAAAAATGTGTTCACTGTAGTAACCCCAGTGCCTGGAACAGTGCCTGGCACTCAGTTGGGACTTAGTAGATGATTAGTGACGCAAAAGCTAGAGCAGTCATCACTTATGGTTACTGAGCGCTCACTATGTGTCAGTACTCTCAGAGTAATCCTCTGAGCCACGCAATAAATAACCTATCTACATTTTATAGGTGGAGAACCTGAAGAGTTGAGATGTAAAGTATACCACAGGGACAAGTCTTTCCAGTACAGTTGACAGATTGAAGAGCATTGCCACCGAGGATGTGGGATGCTTGAGCGAATGTGTAAAGTCATTTCTGTGCACTTAACCTTAACACCCACTCTCACACCAGTCATCCTGAGTGGCGTGGTTATGGCTCTGGGTCGGGCTACTCTTCTAAGCACATGTCTCTTGTCTTCCCTAACCAAATTTTATTTTCCTTGAGGTTACCTGGCAGTGACCTAAATCAGTTACGATTCAGTTGGACTGCAAATAATAGACACTCCAAGTACAGTTGCTTAACTATGATAGAAGTTTATTTCCTTCTTACTCAGAAGCCCAGAGATGGGCAGTTGAGGGATGATACTGGCCTGATGACTCTGCTTCCAAGTCTTCAGAGACCTAGGGTCTTTCTACCTTGTTGTTCCACTACATGTGACCCCCCCACTCCTTAGTTCACCTCATGGTCAGAAATGGCTGCTTCAGCACCAGTAGACACATCTAGCAAGTGCAAGGAAAAGGGGACAGATGTACTAGCCGTGCTTTAAGGAAAGTTCTGAGATGCTGCCAGTAGCACCTCTGCTTATTTCCTTTTGGCCAGAACTTAGTCCCGTGGCCACACCAGCTGCAAGAGCAGCTGGGATGTGTCATCTTTATTCAGAGGGATCACACACGTGTTTCCTTTTATTGCATGTGTATTAGCTACATGTAGAATTCATTTGCTTTTAAAACTTAAAATGCATTGTCAACTGCAGCTTTTCTACTCACCATTATGTTTGTGAGAACTGTGACCTTATGTCTCGCTATATATGGATGCGGTCATTCATGTCAGCGGCTATAGGGCATTTCATCATATGAGTGCACGGTTTATTCGTTATCCATTGATAGCAATGTAAGTTCTTTTCCTTTTTTTTTTTTTGTTATTTCAAACTTTATTCCTGTACTTGTGCCTGTTTCTCCAGTGCAGGATGAAAACGTTTACTGCAGTGACTGAGTTGTATTGTGTTGTACTGTACAGCAGCTGAAGGGAGCACACTGGAGTACTACTGTGTCCTTACGACTCCTGAGTATTCATACAGGCTGCTGGGGCAGTGCTTTCACACTGTGGCTTGTGACTAGTTTAGTCGATTGTGAAATCAGTTTAGGGAGATTAGAACCAGCATACTTAAACAAGATAAGATAGAAGAGAAGAGAACAGAAAAGATTAGAGTGTAAGTAGTGAGGGGTAAGTATTGTTTTGTGAAACCTGTTTTATTGGTGAGGTATGAGTGTACTGGCTTTCAATGTGAAGTGTACCTCATACTGTAGATCACGGTCAAAAGAGTTTATAAAAACACTGGTCTAGTGTATATATACCTAGAAATGAAAATGCTGGGTGGAAGGATTTGTGTAGCCTCTAGATAGTGCCCGGTTCTGCTCCAAAGTGGTTGTATCAAATTATACAACTGAGAACAGTTCCCGCACGGTTTTCACTTTCCTTTCCCTGAGGGAGGGTTAACAAGCACTTTTTCAGGTGTGGGTTGACAACACAAGAAGGCTGGGACGAAGGTGGCACAAGTGTCATGTCTAGGTTGGATTTTTAATTTTTTTTGTTAGAGAGAAAATGAAGTCTCTTGTCAGTAAAGACAGCTTTTTTCTCCTTTTTCAGTACTTTCATTTTTGCTTCTTTTCACTATGTCCAGTGGTCCTGGGTGTCCTTTAAGGAAATACCTTGGACATCTCACCATTAAGTGTGATGTTTGTTTCTGGGGTTTGGTATATATACCCTTTTATCAGGTTAAAAAGTCCCTGTCTAATTAGAGTTTTTTTTAATGAATGGGTGTTGAATTTTATTGCATGCAGGTTTTTTTTCATGCATATCCCCCCTCCCCCCCACCACGCAGCAGTGGAAGCACAGAGTCCTAACCAGGGAATTCCTCCTTCCTTCCTTCCTTCCTTCCTTCCTTCCTTCCCTCCTTCCTTCCTTCCTTCCTTCCTTCCTCCCTCCTTCCTTCCTTCCTTCCTTCCTTCCTTCCTTCCTTCCTTCCTTCTCTTTCTTTCTTTCTTTTCTTTTCTTTTCCTTTCTTTCTTTCTTTCTCTCTTTTCTTTCTTTTTCTTTCTTTCTCTTTCTTTCTTTCTTTCTTTCTTTCTTTCTTTCTTTCTTTCTTTCTTTCTTTCTTTCTTTCTTTTCTCTCCTTTTCTTTTCTTTTCTTTTTCGCCATACCCCGAGGCTTAAGGGATCTTAGTTCCCCGACCAGGGTTTGAACCCAGGCCCACGGCAGTGAAAGTGCCGAGTCCCAACCACTGGACTGCCAGGGAATTCCCTACAATGCTTTTCTAATGTGAAAATATCTTTGATTCCTAGAATAAGGTCAATTTGGTTGTGCACTATTATTTTTTAACACATTGCTGGATTGCTATTGATTTTTTTTTTTTTTTTTTTGCGGTACGCGGGCCTCTCACTGTTGTGGCCTCTCCCGTTGCGGAGCGCAGGCTCAGCGGCCATGGCTCACGGGCCCAGCCGCTCCGCGGCATGTGGGATCTTCCCGGACCGGGGCACGAACCCATGTCCCCTGCGTCAGCAGGTGGACTCTCCGCCACCGGGGAAGCCCTGCTATTGATATTTTTAAATGAGGCCAGCCTGTAATTTTTCTTTGTCATATCTTTGGTTTTAGTATTGAAGTTATACAGACTTTAAAAATGAAGTTATACAGACATTTATTTGGAATGTTTCGTATAAGACAGAGAATTACCTGTTACTTGAAGGTTAATTTGTTTTTAGTGTTGTTTTTTGGGGGGACTTCTTGTTTGTTTGTTTTTTGTCTATTTTTTGACAGATGGATAAGTTTCTGTCTGCTGAATGTCTTTAATTGTTGGTTTATTCAGGTTTTCTACATTTGAGTGAGTTTTGCTAATTCATATTATTCAAGAAAAATTTCCACTTCACCTTAGGTTTTCAAATATATTGGTATAACATTGTTCACTGTATTCTCATTTTAAAAATCTCAACTGTATTTTGGTTGGGTCACCTTTGTCATTCTCTGTATTATGTATTTAGACTCTAAGTCCACATGTGGCATGGACCTGTAGTTGGAAAGTCCTAGAAGAGAGTTTATTTTTTTCCCAGCTAAGCCCAGGCCAAGGTAGATTCATGTCTTTTTCATCCCTCTACCTCTTCCATGCCCTCTTGCTTTCTAGTGGGCTTTAAAATCCAAGCCCCCATTATAAAATTTCTATATGTTGATTGGAATGGTAGTTTTGCTGATGTAGATATTTGTCAAACTCCATAGAACTAAGGATTTTTAAATCTCTGCATTTTATTGTATGTAAATTAAAAAACAAACACCTAAGCACCTAGAGAGTGACCAGCCCTCACCCTGTTCCCTCCAGGGAAGCCACAGCAGCTCAGGGGCTTTCACCTCTGGTTTTCACCTTTCTCTTTGTTTTTGGCCCCTAGGAATTTCTCTTACATCCTTCTGAGGTCACCCTGCATTTTAAAGGTTGTCTGTTTTAATTTCTGGAGCATTTTTAGGTGCTTATAGTGGGTATAAATCTCATCCACCTTTCTGGTAGAAACACAAGTTAGCAAGTTTGAAACCTTCAAGTAAATGTTGGTCAGAGAAGATGGCTTCAAATTTTAGAAGAATGAGCTGAACTAGGAACAAAAATATGTGTAGACAGCTAGCTGTATAATGAGCTCATTTATTCATTGAACATATGTTTATTGTACTTACGTGCCAGCTGCTGTTCTAGGCAGTGACCAAAACAAAACCTGGTTCTTATGGGACGTGGATTCAGTGGAAGGAGATAGCAAACAAGTATGTGATGTGTCAGTTTGGGATAAGTGCTAATAAACGCTGCATGATTGCTATAGTTTAGTTCAGTGAAGCAGTGGGAGATTTTTAGATTAAATAATACCCGAAATGTGCTAACCTAAAATTAAAATGTGGTTAATAAACCAGTTAAATGATGCTGACAGTTTTTGGAATTACCATATTCCAGAATTTCCAGCATCTTTTGTCCCTTAGATCCTGGAGTGGCATTGTGATGTGGATTAGTTTCAAAACCTTGGTTCTCAGTATCCTGCAGAAAAGCATTTGATGGTCGTGTAAGATTCTGTTTGGGGAATTCAGACATGTATTATTAATAGATAAAAGTCTTCATCTTCGAAATATCCTGTGGTCAAGAAATGTGTTTTATTTTCACTCGCCATTTCCCAAATACATTTTACCATGGAGTGATGTATAGAACATAGTTTGAGAAGCATTAGTGTAATAGAATCTTAGCTCTGCAGTGTACCGTTTATGCGACCTCAGTAGCTTTTATTAGGTGGCAATAAGTCCTTGCCTTACAGGATTCTTATGAAGCAAATCTAAAAGAATGTGTGTGGAACCTCTAGTGCAGTTCCAGGTATTTGGTTGACTGGTAGTTCATGTTAGCTCCTTTCTCTGACTGTTAATATATTTGCTTAGAAATAGTTATTATGTACAGAAATTGACAGTGTTCTTATTAATCTCTAAGTGTGATTTTTATCAACAGGAAACTGTGGAGATATAAATTTACTCCGTCTAGGTCCAGAAAAGTCTATTAATGCTGAGGTCCTAAAATTCAGTTTGGACAGCCAAGTTAACCGCAGAATGAGTAAGTACTGGATAAAGGTATATTATTAATTGATTTCTGTTTCTTTTTGTATGGTAGGAAATGGCGTGGGCATTAAAGGTAATTTGGAGACCCTAGAAGTAGTCTAGTTTTGGAAGCTAGTTTTTCTTCTCATGTGTATATGCATATGTATATATGTGTTAGAATGAGCAGTTGTTTATCTTTTATTTTATTTATTTTTTCTTAAAGAAAAAGACTTACCTTCTCATGTTCAGGAGATGCATAGAAGAAAGGAATTTCTAGATCATCAACTAGATGAACTTTCCCGCCAGCGTGCTTTATGCCGAGGTGGAAGGGAACTACAGGTATCTAAACATTTCTTGATCAGTGTTTTTTAATAGCTCGTAGATAAACTAGTTGGTGAGTATTTGATGCAATTCTTTCATCGTGGAATAGCATAATTTGTGTATAAAAATGTACACAGGGCTTCCCTGGTGGCGCAGTGGTTGAGAGTCCACCTGCCGATGCAGGGGACATGGGTTCGTGCCCCGGTCCGGGAAGATCCCACATGCCGCGGAGCGGCTGGGCCCGTGAGCCATGACCGCTGAGCCTGTGCGTCTGGAGCCTGTGCTCCTCAACGGGAGAAGCCACAACAGTGAGAGGCTGACGTACTACACACACACACACACAAAAACTGTACACAGAAATGGTATGCCTTACATTAGGGGTTAAACTTTTTTTAAAAGAACAAGATAGTAAATAGTTTAGACTTTGCAGGCCATGTGGAGTCTGTTTTAGCCACTGAACGCCACTGTTAATGGCATGAAGGCAGAGTAGGTAACACATAAGTGATGCCCCAAGGGTTGGCCTGCTTAAGCAGAAAGAGCGTACCTGCAGTACCCTGAACAGAACTGAATCATACACAGTATTAAGAATTTATTGGACTTCCCTGGTGGTCCAGTGGTTAAGAATCTGCACTTAATTAACACTGAAGGGAGCTCAGGTTCGATCCCTGCTCAGGGAACTAGGTATCCCTCACGCCGCACAGTGTGGCCACAAAAAAAAAAAAAAAGAATTTATCAAATTAACACCTACTAATTGAAACATGGGGTGCTGCTTGTTGGGTTGCTTTATAATGAGCTGATGTTTAAAAACAGACCACAAGAGAAATCGAAATAGAGAAGTTTATTTTCACAGGTCTTGAAGAAGGTATAAGGCATGCCTTGTGGGGCATGACAGGCAGGTCAAGGGAGAGTGCAGACAGAGAGAGGCAGGCCCTGGCGCACATGTCATTATCAGAGTCCATGGGTGGAGTACTTTGGGGTTCCCAGGCTAGGGCTGGATTGGCCAATTTTAACCGAAAGAGCAGGGTTTTGGTAAGTTGCTTGGAGGGTCTTATCTAAAGGGTATGTAAGGGGAAGGCACTGGATGGCAGGGAAGACTGTTGATCACAAGAGCTTATGTTGGCTGGTGGGCTGGTGACTCCACAGGCTGCCGTCTAGGGCGTGCGTGTGTGTGAAGGGGCCTAGTGTTAGTTTGGGGTCTCTGCAGGCTGCTTGGCCAAACAAAATGGACGCCAGGGCAGCAGTACCATGGAGTAGCTTAGCTAAACTCTGACACACAGCAATACAGGAAGACTGGTATAGAGAAAACACACTGGGTTGATCAGTTTTTCATTGGTAAAGTACTGGCTCGCCCTTTTGAAATGTGAGGCAGTCCATGGGAAAGCATTTTAAAATGCTTAATTTAATTTTAATGATGGCATTCTGATTTTTTCCAGAGGCAAGAATTAGATGAAAAAATTGCCAGAGTTTCAAAAGAAAGGCAGGAGCTTGCTTCTAAAGTTAAAGAGGTAAGTAGTTCACCTGTAGCATTTTCCTGGTATTACTTTTTCTTTTTTTAACTTACGAAATAGTTCAGACAACCTATGGTCTTTTCTCAATTACATTTAAAAATTTGGGGGAATTCCCTGGTTGTCCAGTGGTTAGGACTCTGTGCTTCCATTGCAGGGGGTGTGGGTGTGATCCCTGGTCAGGGAACTAGATCCCGTGTGCTGCAACCAAGAGCCCGCATGCCACAACTAAAAGATCCCTCATGCCGCAAGTAAAGATCCCACACGCTGCAGGGAAGATCCCACATGCCACAACTAAGACCCAGCGTAGCCAAACAAATAAATAAATATTTGAAAATACAGGGGAAAAAATTACATGTCTGAATTCAGGTAGAGTGACAGTGGCTGGGATGTGGCCCAAGAAATACAAGCACCTTTTTTCTCAGTTTTCGGCTGAAAGCATATACTCTTATTACTTGTTTTTGATCACAAAAATCCTTCTATAATATGTATAACTTTTCCCAGTATTCTTTGGATATAAAAATATCAACTAACATTTAGATTGGTCAAAGCTAGGATGAGCCAGGTGTGTACCCCGTCAGCAGAATGCAGCCCTTAATGAAATGAATTGGGGGTCAGGGAAAGA